CAGTGTCACCCGTCCTTGTCCAGATTACACAACCGTCCGCCTTGCTGACAGCTCCACAGTTTCTGCCACCCTCCGCGGCACCCTGCCTCCTCCTCTCGCCACGGACAAGGACGTTCCCGCCCTCGTTGTCCCCGGTCTTCACGAGCCTCTTCTCTCCGTGGCCGGTATGTGCGACAAAGGATTATTTTCTGTCTTCTCGGCTGAATCCTGCGACATCTACGACGCAGAATAATTCTCCTCCGCTCTTGCCCTTGTGGGTCGTGGCTACCGCAAGGGGAATCTCTTCTACCTTTCCTCAGGCAAGGTAAGGTCTTCATCCGCCATTTCTGTTCCATCCACCTCTCATGGATGCTCACTCCATGATTATCACATTTGACTCTCTCACATAGGTCTGAAACCTCTCAAACGCTTTCTTTGCCTGTCCGTAATAATCCCTACCATGGCCAACAACATTGAGGTAACTCAATGCCCTGTCTGCGTGCAATCCAAAATGCATCGCCTCTCTTTCACTTCTTGTTTCTCTTACTGCTCTCAAGTACCTGGTCATTTAATTCACTCCGATGTTGGTTCCTTTGAGATTGCTTCCCGTGAAAACTACAAGTATTTTGTTACTTTCATCGACGATTGTTCCAAATACGTTTCTATTTTTCCAATGAAATGCAAATCAGAAGTTTTTTCCTGCTTCAAAATTTTTAAGGCTTTCTTCAAGAAAGATGGATAATTTCAAATCCTCGCCCTCCATTCTGACAATGGTGGCGAATACATTTCCAAAGCTTTTGAATCCTTCCTTCTCTCCTCGGGTATTCACCATGAACCAGGCCCTCCTCACTCCCCTGCCCTCAACGGCGTTGCTGAAAGGACAAAACGTACCATGGGGAATCTGATCCGGTCCTCTCTCATCACTGCTAAACTCCCAAAATTTTTTGGGCAGATGCCATGCGTCACATCTTCCACCACTTCAACTCCATTCCATGTAACACCCCGTCTGGCTTCCACTCACCAAACTCAATACTAGGCCGTCCCCTTGTAGATTTCAATAATCTGCACCCCTTTGGGTGTCTGGTCTGGCACAAGGTCCTGGATGCAACTCAGAAGAAACTTGACTCTAAAGCTCATGCGGCCATTTTTCTGTCTTTCTCAAGGATGGTAATGGGTTTTGGGTATGGGATCTACAAACAAAGAAAGCCATCAAAACTCGCGACACTCTCTTCGATGATGGCACCTTTCCCCTATGATTATCAACTCACCGGTTCCAACTCCGGGCCATCTTTGATGAGCTTCC